GGGGGGGTCAGGGGGAATTGGGGGTGCTCCCAGCCCCCCATTTCCCCAGGTGAGAGGTATTGGGGTACCCCCTGGAGAGGGGGGTGTCACTTACCATCCCCGTCGTCGAGGATCTCCTGCACATCCTCATCATCGTCTACGATCACCACACAGTCCTCCCCGCTCTCACTGTGGGTGGGGGCATTAGCGAGGGGGGGGATAAAGGTTTGGGGTTCCTTCCCTGGCACCCCCAAAATCCCAGGGTACCCCCTGGCCACCCCCCAACAGTGCAGCTGACCTTTCAGGGATCCCCTCGGCGCCCTCGCCCAACAAGTAGAACTGCAGCGGGTTTGGCCATAGTTCCTCCTTGATGATCTTGGGGGAGAGATTTTTTTGGGGGGTGGGGGTGTCAGGGGGGTATTGGGAGCACTGGGAGGAGGTACTGGGAGCGCTGGGACTCACCTCAGCAATACGATCTCCCGCGGGGAAGCTGTGGTCCCCAAACCAAGCGAAAAAGCTGCGGGGGGCCGGTGGACCCTTGTGGGGACGAGAACGGGGGTCCTGCCCCTGCCACCATCGGATGGGGGTTGAATGGGACACCAGGTGACCTGGGAGGGGCAGGGGGGAGAAGGGGGGGGGTCACTTTGGACCCCCCAAAATCCCTCCCTAGGTTGTAGGAAGAGGGGTGCTCACCCACCAGAGGGACCGCGCACGAATTCCTTGGCCACAACATCGTTCTGGAAGTAGGGATTGACGCTGAAGAAGAACCGGATCCTGCACCCAGGTCGGGCTTGGCCAAATTCCTCCACCTGCGGGATCCAGGTGTCCAAGTACGTCACCCTCCTCCTCCTCACTCTCTGGGGGAGGGGGGGGCTCCCCCATTCCCCCAACATCTCCCCACAACCCCCCCGGGGGCACGCAGGCACCTGTAAGCTCGTCATGTAGCTGAGGGCATCCTCGTCGCGGTCGCTGATCATGGCCGAGAGCTGGGGGTGGTTCAGGAACTGGGGAAGGGAGTTAAGGAAAGCCGGAGGCCTGGCTTTGTTGTGTGTTCCCCCCCTCAAAAGTCCAACACCCCACCCCCCCACGCCCCCCCCACA